AATAGATGTTAGCTCAGAGCCAGTCTTCCTCAGCAAAAGGAGGAGGATTAGCATGGATGTTAGCTCAGGGCTGATCTTCCTCACAAAAAAAAAAAGTACAATTGCCGGGTTTCATTTTTTGTAATTGAGATATAATTCACACTCCATAGATTTCACATTTTTAAAGTACACAATTCAGTGGTTGTTAGTACATTCACAAAATTGTGCACCATCACCTCTATCTAATTCCAGAACATTTTCATCACCCAAAAGGAAACCCCAGGCCCATTAGCAGTTGTTCCCCCTTTGTTCTCCCCACTCCCAGCCCTTGGCAACCACTCACCTCCTGTCTCTGTGAAGGTGCCTATTCTGGACATTTTGTATAGGTGGAATCATATAATATTTGTCCTTTTGTGACTGGTTTCTTTCACTTAACATAATGTTTTCCAGCTTTACCCATGTCATAAGGGTCCTAATATTTTGCATTTTATTAGATGTTGCCAAATTGCTCGACAAAACTGCTATGTCAATTTTCCGTTCACACCAGCAGTGGGGCAGGATCCCCATTGCTCCACATCTTTGCCGACACTTGGTATAGTCAGACTTTTTGGTGTTGCCATTCTGAAGGGTGTGAAATGGTACCTGAGCAAGGCTTAGAGTCACGTTCCATTGTTGATCCTCCTCTGTGAAATGCCTGTCAGTGACCTTTGCCCATTTGTCTCTGGGCCTACCGTCCGCTTATGGATCTGTAATCCCTTTCTATTTGGGATGCCAATCCTTTGCGTGTTGTATATATTGCAGATGGCTTCTGTCAGCCTGTCTGTGGGCTCCTATTCTTGGCTTTGACATCATTTGCCATAGATTTTTTTATCTGAATTTTAAAGACGTGGCTTCCCTTGCAGCCCTGTCAAAGTTCAGGCTGTTTTCTCTCCACACCTCTGGCCTGGAGATGGGGTAGAAGTCTTCCTTGTTCGTCATTGTCACTTCCCTTTGCCCTAAGTTCCCCCCAACTTTGAAGACAATACCAGCAGACTGTACGTACCTCAATACCCTTCCTTGTGGCAGTCATCCAGAGCTACCCGCTCCCTTTCCCAGGTGACTCCATTTCATTTCTTGATGATTTTAGCTCCTGGCCAAGGTCAGCCTCGTCATAATTGTTGGTGAGTTCAGTAGGTGAGTTCAGTATTCACACAGATGACCCTGCCGATACCCTTACCTTGGCCTCCTCTCACCCACCCATCTTGGCCTCTACGCCTATTGTCATTCCCTAGACCCGGACCTTCTCATTACCAGTAAATGTGTCCTCTCCGTGATCTCACGTGCAAGCACTCTGGTCTGAGCATCACCTCCTGTCTTTGCAGTTCATGCCCCCTAAGATCTCCACTGTACCAACGCTTTGGCCCATCCATACACCCAGCCATTTCCCACCACCGTCACCCCATGCATGTCCTCACTGCATTGACTCCATTGCCCACTTGTTCTCTTGCATAATCCTCAGCCCTCTTGCCCCTTTCTTCTCGGTATATGTATCAGTCAGGGTCCTCCAGAGAAACAACCAGTAGGGGTGTGTGTGTATGTACAGGGAAAGAGAAAGACAGAGAAAGAGAGAGAGAGAATGACATTTAGTTCAAGGACTTGGCTCACGTGATTGTGGGCGCTAGCAAGCCTGAAATTTGCAGGGCAGGCTGGAACCTCAGGCAGGAGCTGATGCTGCAGTCCTGAGGCAGAATTTCTTCTTACAGAAACCTCGTCAGTTTTCACTCTTAAGGCCTTTCAACTGATTGGATGTAGCCCACCCAAATTATCAAGGATAATCTCCTTTACTTCAAGTCAACTGATTGTAGATGTTAACCACAGCTACAAAATATCTTCAGAGCAACCCCTAGACTAGTGTCTGATGGAGTAGCAGAACTGGAACCTAGCCAAGTGGACACACAAACCTCCCCATCATGTTGTACTTCCTGGGTATAACCCTGGCCCTGGTTAAATCCAATTCTACCTCCTCCCTGAGGGTGTCTGGGCTGCTGAGCGAGGCTGGAAAAGAAGATGCAAGCTTGTTGCCTCTTCATGGCATGGCCTTCCAGCGGCCCCGTGGTGCCTCCCAGCCCTGTATCCACAGACCTGCCTGTGTCCACGCCCTGCAGGTGTCTCATCCCTGCCAATGCTGCAGGCGCCAGCTGGAGCCCCTCTCTTCTTCCCTACTCAACAGTTCCACTAGGGATTCTCCCCTCTTCTCTTCCACATCAGCAGTTTATCCTTCTCTACCGGATCACAGCCATCAATACACAGACATGTTGCAGTATCACCCATCTTAAGAAAGCAAAACGCCCTGATGCGAGATCCCACTCCAGCTGCTGCCGCACTTCTCTCTCCACTTTGTAGCAGAGATCAAAGAGCCATTTGGGCTCACCATCTTGGATTGCTTCCTTCCATTGTCTCATAGAAGCACTCCAGCTAGGTCTTCACCAAACAGCTCCTGTCACAGCTGCCAGGGACAAAGGGGACCAGATCCAGTGGCCAAGCCTCAGTTCTCATCTGATTGGACCCTTCAACAGCATCTTATAGTTTCTTCACTTGCCATCTAGGATGCCCCACTAGCTCGTTTCTCCTACCTCACCAATTTCCCCTTCTCCATCTCCTTATCTCTATAATTTCTAAACTTGGCAGGATCCGTGGCTGCTTCTTGGATCTCTTTTCTTCTCAAAGCACACTCATTGTCCTGGTGAACCCACCCCGACTCACAGATTAAATACAGTCTAGAAGCTGACAAGCTCCCAGCTTGCTATCTCCAGCCTGTAGCTCTCCTGGCCCTGTATCTATCCAGATGCCTGCTGGACATCTCTATTTGGATACCTAATAGACATTTCAAACTTGCCACATCCAAAATTCAGCTCATGGTTCCCTGCCCCCTGCCCCCCGACAACAAACCTACACTTACTGAAGTTCTCTCCATCTCCATAAATGGCCCACCCCATCTTTCCGATTGCTTTGGCTATAAACCATAGATTCATCCTTGATTCCTTTCTCTCTCATACCCTCCATCCCATCCATCAGCAGATCTTGTTGATTCCACTCTCAAATAGATCCCCAGTCCAGCAACTTCTCGCCCCTTCTGTTGTCACCACTCTGGTCCAAGCCACCACCCTTGTAACACATAAATCAGATCACAGTGCTCCTCTGTTCAGAAGCCTCCAGTGGTATCCGGTCCTGTTTAGAGGAAACGCAAAGGCCATACAGTCACCCACAAGGCCCTGCATGGTTTGTCCTCACTACCGCTCTGGCCTCAGCGACTCCCACACTCCCCATCATTGCTCTGCTCCAGGCACACGGGCCTCCTTACTGCTCCTCAAACTCATCAACTGAGTTTCTGCCTTGGGACCTTTGTACTCACTGCTCTTTCTGCCAGGAATGCTCTTCGTGAATGACAGAACTTGCTCCCTAAATTCTGTAAGTTTCTGGCTACCATGCTAAGTAGAAAGCCTCTCTACATCTCCTTTAGTCTGCTTTCTGTTTCTGCGTAACACTTGGCACTCGCTAATGTCCTCTGTGTTTACTTGTTTGTCTGTCCCCCCACTGTCCCTGGAGAATGCAAGCTCCGTGAAGGCAAGGATATTGTCTCTTTTTTTTTTTTTTTTTTTTTTTTGTGAGCAACATCAGCCCTGAGCTAACATCCACACCAATCCTCATCTTTTTGCTGAGGAAGACTTGGCCCTGAGCTAACATCCATGCCCATCTTCCTCCACTTTATGTGGGACGCCGCCACAGCATGGCCTGACAAGCGGTGTGTCAGTGCACACCCAGGATCCGAACCTGGGCCGCCAGCAGCGGAACGTGCGCACTTAACCACTACACCACGGGGCCGGCCCCCAGATATTGTCTCTTTTGATCACCACGGTGTCCCCTCAAAGGAGATGAGAGTCCTTTGCAAACATCAGCTGCCCTCCAAACTGCACCCCAACTCCCAAGCTATTGTTGCTAGTATTTTAACATCCAGATTTTCTTGAACGTGAAGTTAAAGCAAGACCCACCAGCATGCTGTGTTGTTCTCCAGCTGCACTCAGGTGCTCAGTCAGCAGCAGGGAGAAGTGAGAGTTGCATTTAACCAGGGCAAGAGTCCGCCAGACCAATTTGATAAAGGGAGAGAGGGACAAGGCAAAGATTCTACCTATGGATCATGAAATCCAAGCTAAGGAGGATGTGAAAAGGGTGAAGGATAAGGCAGGGATGGACTTTAGAAATGTGTTTTAATGTCAATCCTTAGATTTTGTGCCATGTATTCCTGAATTCTTCAGTCATCAGTACTTCTTGTATCTCATTTGTTTCTTCCAGGTTCTTTCCTCTTCTTGCTGAAGTATCTCCTGTAGCATTCCCCCCAGCGAATATCTAGGGCCAATAAACTTTCTGAGTCCTTGTATGTCTGAAAATGTCTTTATTTCACCCTCACTCATAAATGCTAGTTTGGCTGAGCGTGGAATTTCAGGTTCACACTTATTCACCCCAACACTCAATCTGGTTCTCATTCCTTTGTAGGTCAGCTGGTTTTCTTCTCGTGGCTTTAGGATTTTTTTTTTTTCCTTTGTGGTCTGTAGAGAATATGTCTATGTCTGAGTTTCAGTTTTCTTTTTAAATCCTACTGAACACCTAGTGGGCCTTTGAAATCTGAGGACTCGTGTCTTTTCTCATTTCTGGAAAATTCTTCAAATATTGACTCTACCCCCATTTTCTTTTTTCTGTCTTTCTGGAAGCCTTACTGGACATACAGTAGAGTCTTTCATTATATTCTACATGTCTTTTAGTCCTTCTCCATGTGTTCTTTCTCTTTCTGTCTTTGTAATATTTTATAGATTTCCTCTGTTCTGTATCCACTCACGGCCAGTCTTGTTTTGTCTATATCCCCACCCAGCCTCAGGCTATTTTGAAGCCAGTTCTACATATCATATTATCTTTTTCTCTAAATATTTCAGTATTTGTCTCTAAAAGATGAGGATCCTTTTAAAAATTGCAATTCCATGACCATACCTAAAACATACTGACAATTCCTTAATTTCCAGCCAGTGTTCAAATATCCCTGAATGTCTCATAGATGTTTTTGTATAGTTGTCATCCCAAATAAGGAACCAAAAAAGTGAAGACATTGCAGTTAATTGAAATGTTTGTCTCTTTTACTTTGTAAGTTCCTCTCACATTTTTTTTTTTTTTTGTGAGGAAGATCAGCCCTGAGCTAACATCCATGCCAATCCTCCTCTTTTTGCTGAGGAAGACCGGCTCTGAGCTAACGTCTATTGCCAATCCTCCTCGTTTTTTTTTCCCCCCGAAGCCCCAGTAGATAGTTGTATGTCATAGTTACACATCCTTCTAGTTGCTATATGTGGGACGCGGCCTCAGCATGGCCAGGGAAGCGGTGCGTCCATGCGCGCCCGGGATCCGAACCTGGGCCGCCAGTAGTGGAGCATGCGCACTTAACTGCTAAGCCGTGGGGCCGGCCCTCCCCTCACATTTTTAAACTTTAGTTTGTTTTTTGAATAATGATGCTTATTAGAAATCATATTTATTGTCCTGTACCATTTCCCATGGGTCTGAATTTTGCAGATTGCATCCCCTTGATGTTGTTTGACATGTCCATCTGTCCTCCAGTATTTCCTGCAAACTTGTAGATCTTGGATTGAGCTATCCAGTAAGGCAGACTTAGTACAGAAATGGGGAATGTAGATAACTCATTAATAATTTTTATATTGATTACATGCTGAAATGATAATATTTGGATATATTATATTAAAATACATTAAAATTATTTTCACCTGTTTCTTTTTACTTTTTTAATGTGCCTTCTACAAAATTTAAAGCCACATCTGTTCCTGGTATAATATTTCTAGAGGACTAAAGGCTCGATCTGATTCTAGTTCAGTTTTTCCCTCTGGGTCATCATAGATTGATATCCCAATAGCAATAAGCACACCTACTACTCAGATTTTGATTTCTATACACCATTGCCCGTAAAAAGAACCAGGGCTCCTTGGGAAGATAGCCTATTCAGGACTCTGGGGCAGGGGTAGTGCAAGGTGAGCCTGGGACATTTTATTAGGACAAAATTAAGAAAGTGCCCCCAAACTAATGAGAACATGTCAAAAGGACACAGAAACCAACTTGAAGAGCCTCCACTGGCCAAATTTGGGACATTTTGAGCCTCAAAAAATAATAGTAGTGGATTATAATGCATTGAATAAAAAAAGAATCTCTGCATCCATAGAAATACTAAAAAGGAAAATTAGGGTGGAGGAAGCGGAAAGTCTACCTTACAGAGAAATGCCAGCTAATAAAATTAAAAAGAAGGGCCGGCCCCATGGTGTAGCAGTTAAGTGCACACGCTCCGCTGCTGGCAGCCCGGGTTTGGATCCTGGGTGCACACCGATGCACTGCTTGTCAGGCCATGCTGTGGCAGCGTCCCACATAAAGTGGAGGAAGATAGGCACAGATGTTAGCCCAGGGCCAGTCTTCCTCAGCGAAAAAAACAGGAGGATTGGCATGGATGTTAGCTCTGGGCTGATCTCCCTCACAAAAGTAAATAAATAAATAAAAGTAAAAAGAATGCTAGAATTAGAATTTCACCATTTTTCAACTAGTACGTTAATAAATGTTCCAGGCAAGGATTATCACTGAATGCTGAAATCAATCAGTGAAAGGTTGCTGGGGAGTAAGGTATTTACATGGTCTCAAATGATTGCCCCACAGATTACTTTTTAATTACAGGGGGGATGGTACCTTCTTTTTTTTTTTTTTTTTGGTAAGGAAGATCAGCCCTGAGCTAACATCCAGTGCCAATCCTCCTCTTTTTGCTGAGGAAGATTGACCCTGGGCTAACATCCGTGCTCATATCCTCTACCTTATATGGGAGGCTGCCACAGCATGGCTTGACAGACGGTGCGTCAGTGCGCACCCGGGATCCAAACCCACAAAACCCGGGCCACCGAAGCGGAGCGCGCGCACTTAACTGCTGAGCCACTGGGCTGGCCCCAGGAAGGTACCTTCTTGATGGCCAGAATCTGGCAGCCATCACCTTAACTGAGTGATCAAAGTCAACATGACCACCAGTGGGACAAAGTGCCATCTTGCACCTCCTTAGGTGATGCCCTGAGAAGGCCATAATGTCGGTAACCATTATGGTGTTCTTGCCAGAGTATGAAGCCTGAATCTAATCATGAGGACATCAAAATAACTGACCTGAAAAGTGGCAGTGTTACAAAAGACAAAAAAGAAAAGATAGGGAGATTGTTCCAGATTCAAAGAGATGGAAGAGATATGAGGACTAAATACTATGTGTGATCCATGGTTGGATCCTGGATCCAAATGTAAAAATGGCTATAAGGGACATTATTGGGGCAATTGGGTAAATTTGGATATAGACTAATTATTAGATGAGTGTCCCCATCTGTTACATTTTTTTGCATGTAATCATTATTTTGTGGTCATTTAAGAGGGTGACGAGTTTAGAGGCAAAGTGGCACAATGTCTGAAACTTACTCTCAAATGGTTTCAGAAAAAAAAGCGTATGTCTGTGTGTATGTCTATGTATGTCTATCTACATAGATATAATTGTGGCAAAATATTAATAATCAGTAAATCTAGGCACATAATTCACAGTTGTCTTTCTTTCGGTAATATTAGCATCTATTGATGATCATTCCTAGATCTTATCACTTAATTAAGGTCTTGCAAATAGTGAAATGGTATCATTCTCTCTTTGTTTCTTAGCTCAAATCTTTGTACCTTATGCAGATTAAATGCTTGAATCTTAACCTTTATTTACCATTTTGCAAAAGGAATTCTTATTCTTACTCGTGATCAAATTGTCCCTTCTTTGTCCAGTGGGAGCCTCTTCAAGTCGGCTCTTGAGTCCTTTTAACAGGACCCCAGGAGTCTTGGCTAGGTTCCTTACTTTCTGCTCTGACAATGTGTTCCCGGCTCATGTTGTCCATTTCCTGCCCCGGATCAGCAATAAGCCATTGCTGTCATGAGCTCTGGTTCCTTTTAACAGTAAAGTAAACAAACCTGTTTTCAGTCCTTTTCAGGTTGCTGTTTTACGTCTAGTTTCACAGAAAGAAATACTCCTGTGTGTTGGCAACTTACACTGTCTTTCATGCTGTGGGACTTGTTCATATGATTCATAATTTGTATTTGAGAGCTCCTGTTCCCCAGGAGCTTTATCCCCAGGTGCCCTGAATTGTGCCCCCTCAACCCCTCTCCATGGGGTACAGAGGCACAGATGTTGCCTCTGTCTGGATCCCACAGGCTTCTTAATGCCCCAAACCAGTTTTGATTAGGGACTAGTTAATGGGGAGGGGGCAGTTAAAGGGACAATATGGTTTCTATCCCATGTACTTCTGTATTGTTTGAATCTTTTACAATGAGAATGTATTTCCATGTTAATCGTAGACTTATAAAAGGGCGAGACAGCTACGCCTATGGATTGGAGAGTGGGAATGTGAGGAGGCTGTTTACTTGCCTAGAGTAGGAGTGATCTTTTTGTCTCTGTTTGCTTTTCCAGGATCTGTACCCAGCTCTGAAAGGTGTAAGCACAGTTTTCCACTGTGCATCGCCCCCACCATCCAGTGACAACAAGGAACTCTTTTATAGAGTGAATTACATTGGCACCAAGAATGTCATTGAAACTTGTAAAGAGGCTGGGGTTCAGGTAAGGGGAAAGCTGGAGTGAGTGCTGTCAGGAATGTGTGGTGGCCCTTTCTAAGTGTGTAGGGTCCGGGGTTCTTGCTCTCTTGCTGGGCCTAGCCAGGCTTGCTTCTTAAAGTATTGCAAAGATCTTAGAAATTAAGCCCTAGGAGCTGCTGGGCCAGTTTGACCTGTAATATTTTAGCTGCATCTTAGTAGACCATCTGAAGACCTTAAGGCTTAGTATTAATCTTTGATCAAAGAGCTACAGAATTTAAATATTGCTTATGGTTTTTATTGTAGTAAAATATAGAAATAACACCAAATTTACCATTTTAACCATTTTTAAGCATACGGTTCAGTGGCGTTAAGTACATTCACATGGTTGTGTAACCATCACCACCATCCATCCCCAGAACTTTTCATCTTCTCAAACTCAAACTCTGTTCCCATGAAACACTAACCCCCACTCCGCCTCCCACAGCCCCTGGCACCCACCATCCTACTTTCTGTCTCTATGAATCTGCCTCCTCTAGGACCTCATACTGGTGGAATCATACAGCATCTGTCCTTTTGTGACTGGCTCAGTTCACTTAGCGTATTGTCTTCAGGGTTCATCCATGTTGTAGCATATGTCAGAACGTCCTTCCTTTTAAGGAGGAATAACATTCCAGTGTGGATAGACCACATTTTGTTTATCTCCTCATCCGTCAATGGGCACTTGAGTTGCTTCTACCTTTTGGCTATTGTGAATCAGGCTGCTATGAATATGAGTGTGCAAATATCTGTTCCAGTCTCTGCTTTCAATTGTTCTGGGTAAATACCCAGAAGTAGAATTCCTGGATCACATGGTAATTCTGTTTAACCTTTTAAGGAACCATCATGCTATTTTCCAGACCTTTCTTATATTTTTAAAGAAAAACAAACTGTATTTACTTTTAGCCAATAGAAACCTGTTATAACTCAGACCTAAGGGGATACGAATTCCTACCATGTCATAGCTTTCTGCGTTGTTATAAATTGCGGTTCTCAGGATCACCTTTACAGGGCACCAGCCACTGGACGAAACAGCTCCCTGTCAGCCAGGCACACCGCCCTCACAGTGACGCATGCAAAGTGAGCCAGAGGTTTCTGTCCCAGCAGTCCCTGGTGCCGTTGGCCAGCCCCAGCATCATCAGCTGACCGAGCAAGAACAGGCCAGCAAAGAGTTCTTCTGGGCTTAGCACCCTGGAAAGGATCAGTTATACTGATAGGGACCCCTTACACTTTGCAAATGACAAGACACTTTGCCCTGCATTTGTCACATGATTTGCCTCTCATTAGGTAACCGGGATTACTAATATAATTTAATAGTTGAGGAACCAGATTTTGAAGGCTAAGTGATGTCTCTTTGCTAGTAAATGAAAGAGGTAGGATTCAAATCAGACCCTCTGATGCCAAATGCCAGACTTCTTACTCTCTACCGTGCTTGTATAACTGGAGCTTATGAATTACACCACTGCTGTTTTCTAAATGGAATATCCCAGGCATCCAAAAAGGATTGAAGAATAATCTAGCCTCAGTACACTCATCACAGCATTTACATGATAGTATCACTGGTAGAGTTGAAGTCCCATGTGCACCCATTCTTGATGCTGTTGCTGCCTGTCCCCACCCACGAGAAACACTGTTCTGAATGTGGGTCTATTTCTATTTGCTCCATGTGCAGCCAATATAAGGTCTTGGTGTACATATTATAAAACTTTATAAAAATGATATCATATTGAATATATCTCCCTGCAACTTACTTTTGTCCCCAGTGTTACGTTTTTGAGATTTATCCATCTTGATATATGTAGCTCCACTATATTCACGGAAGGGGCAGAATAGCTTAGCGGGTGACTGTGCCGGAAATGATTTTTTGTGTTGGATTTAGGGCACATTTCCCAACGCTCAGATCAAAAGATTGTTTAATGTGGGGCTGGCCCCGTGGCTTAGCGGTTAAGTGCACACGCTCCGCTACTGGCGGCCCGGGGTTCAGATCCTGGGTGCGCACCGACGCACCGCTTCTCCGGCCATGCTGAGGCTGCGTCCCGCATACAGCAACTAGAAGGATGTGCAACTATGACATACAACTATCTACTGGGGCTTTGGGGGAAAAAACAAAAGGAGGAGGATTGGCAATAGATGTTAGCTCAGAGCCAGTCTTCCTCAGCAAAAAGAGGAGAATTAGCATGGATGTTAGCTCAGGGCTGATCTTCCTCACACACACACAAAAAAAGATTGTTTAATGTGGTTTTTTCCTCAAAGGTTTAAAGTGTTACTTCCCACATTTAAATCTTTAATCCACCAGGAATTTATGTTTGCATATGGTATGGGGTGGAGATCGAATTTTTTGTTGGTCAGCACCATTTATTGTGTGATCTATCCTTTCCCTGCTGTTCAGCACCCTGGCCAGCACATCTCAGGTGCTTGTGCCTTGCATGGGTCTGTTCCCGGCTCTCTCCCTCTTTCTTGGTCTCTGTCTATGCCCATGCCAGTGTGCTCTGCCATTAAGCAAACCTCAGGATGAATCTCAGTATCTGGTAGGACAAGTCACCTCCCAACCATGTTCTTCAGAATTCGAATTCTTGGCTAATCTTACCCCTTTGCTCATCCATAAACATTTTAAAATCAGCTTGTCAAGTTCCTTGATAAAGCCTGTTGGAATTGTTACTGTAATTGCATCAAACTTAAAGGTAATTTGAGAGAGAGTTGATGTCTTTCCAATATTGAGTTTTCCTATCCGTAAATATATATTTCTCTCTCTCTCTTTAATGCCTTTCAATAGAGTTTTATACTTCATAAAGGTTTTGTACATCTTTTGTTAAATTTATTCCTATGTACCTCATTTTTGGTTATTGAAATAATATCTTTCATATTAAATTTTCAGTTGCTATTGCATAGGAACACAGTTAATTTTTGTATATTGATTTTGTCCTCAACAACTTTCCTAAACTCTAATATTTTCTGTATGTTCATGGTGTTTTCTATGTAGATATTTCCAACATCCGTGAATGGTGATAGTTTGGTTCCTTCTTTTCAGATTGTTATGCCTTGTTGTTTTTCTTATCCTACCACGCTGGCTAGGACTTCTGGTACAATGTTGCATGAAAGTGGTAAAGATATGATTGGAGCTAATGATGCCAGGGTTTGTATCAGAATCACCATGGGTCTTTTTCAGACAGACCCCTCCCTCGAAGTTTGTGAGCTCTCCTTCCCCCATGGAGAATCACTCCCATAGTGAGATAACTGTGGATAATGGAAGTCTGTTCTATTTCTCAGCTGTGTAGAAGAGAAAAAAAGGGTGAAATCCACTGTGTTAGAATGTAATACTGTAATATGTCTCGAATCTATGTAGCTGCAAAATATGGTGGTCTTTGGATTATTTTAGGAAGGCCTGAAAAGTGAAGGCATTGCAACAAATAATTTGTACAGTGCCTTGCATGTGAGTGTCGTGAACAGGTGCCATTTGATATTCTTTCATACATGACAATCAGAATGTTTAAATAGTGATCATTCCTGGCTCGTTTTTTTTTGTTGTTGTTGTTTTTTTTTTCTTTTTTAATCTTCCTTTCTCCTCTGCCAGAAACTCATTTTAACCAGCAGTGCCAGTGTCATCTTTGAGGGCGTCGACATCAAGAATGGAACTGAAGACCTCCCTTATGCCATGAACCCCATTGACTACTACACGGAGACAAAGATCTTACAGGAGAGAGTATGTACCTGACAACTGGTGGAGTGAGTGACAAGCAAGTTCCGTGAACATCTGAAGGGTTTAGATTCTTAAGAAAAATGTTTATGAACATATGAAGTTAGTATTCTGAGGCTTAGGTACCTAACTTGGGAAGTAAAATTTGTGGATGAAATTCAATTTTAAAAATAGTAACAAGGCCTGGCCCCGTGGCCGAGTAGTTAAAGTTCTGTGTGCTCTGATTCAGCGGCCCAGGTTCACGAGTTCAGATCCCAGTGCAGACCTACTCAACTCACCAGCCATGCTGTTGCAGTGTCCCACATACAAAATAGAGGAGGATTGGCATGGATGTTAGCTCAGGGCTAATCTTCTTCAAGCAAAAAACAAAAAGAAGAGGATTGGCAGCAGATGTTAGCTCAGGGCAAATCTTCCTCAGCAAAAAACATAAAATAAATAAAAATTTAAAAATTAAATAAAAAATAAAAATAATAACAGAACAGCTTAATGTGGCCAGACACTGCTCTGAGTTTTTTACAGGAACTGCCTCATTGAAACTTTACAATGACCCCGTAAGGTGGGTACTATTATCGTCACCAGATTACAGGTGAAGTCAGTTGATGCACAAAGATCCAGAACATTTCTGAGGTTGTGCAGCTAGTAGGTGGCTGAACCCAGGCAGTTTAGCTCCAGAGCCTGCACTCAGCCTCTGTGCCATGCAGGCTTACTCAGTTGCTATAGAAATCAGAAATTAGAGGCAATTTATGATGATCCAAAGCATGCAGGCAGAACTCGGGCTTAACACACGAGTGTGTTTTCATTTGAACACTCCTTCCTAGTGGCGCTCTTGCCCCCCTCCCTTTTTTTAAGTTAAACAATGGAAGGATCTTGCTTTATTTTAAGGAAAAGTACTTTTCCACTTGGCAAACTGCCTTCACCAGGGAGCGCCTGGTTGTAGCAGCAGTCTGGGTTGAGTAACAGTCACCGAGCCTTCAGACTCTGGGTCTCTGGGACCCCTGACAGCAGCTAGCTCCAAGTCTACCATCCAGAGAGAACATTACCCAGAGGACATCCTCAAATGAAGGCCAGGACACTCATCGGCTGCAGCCAGCTCGCCTTAGCTGGGTAGCTGTGAGTTTACCGCTCCAGGTGTTTGTAGCTTATCACACCCACTGAGATTTTCTTTCACAGCCGCTATACATCGAACCAGAGCTTAGCGCCGAATCGGCCTAAGTCCCCCTGTACTGCCTGAGAGCCAGCTGCCTCCCATTTTTTTGCTATTACTCTGGCTCAGAAAGTCCCAGAAGAGCTCATCTGCGGGGAGACACGAGGGCCTCCCAGTCCAGGGGTTGCAGGCCTGGCCTTTTGCAAGCTCCAGACCTGTCTCTGCTACCCTGCTCCTTGGAGCACAGAGAGCCTCACAGAGCTCCCACCTTCCTAGACTTGACCCAGGGAGCACTGTAGCTTCTGCTGGGCCCTGTGCACTCTCATCTAAGGCTCCTGGGACTCCAACCCTCTGGGGCTCAAGGGCTCCAAATGGCAGCCTTGGCTCAGACCATCAGTGTCTCGCTTACATTGACTTTTGAGTGCTCAACTGGAAATAAGCAAAGTCTGTAAATGCCTCCAGCTGTGACCCTCCTGGGACCTCCTGTGAGCCACAGTTGGTGCACATCAGCTTGCTGTTGCCTTTCAGACCTCCTGACCAATAATGAAGAGAGTCTGGTGTGGATCTAGGACTCCTTCAACTCTTTTCTTTAGTAACAGAGATGAGGGCAGAGGGCGTTCGAAGGCTTATCTAGTCATTTCCTCCATTGCCATGGGGACCAGGGGCCTGGCAGGAAGAGGAGGGGCAGCTCTGGGAATCTCTTGCGAGACCCCTTCTCCATTGTTAGGTAGCTCCGATCGTTATAAACTCAGTAAAGAAGTAGCTTAAACTCACTGGGACCAAAACATGTATAAGAATTTTGCCACCATAGGGTAGAAATCCTAGGTGAGGTGATATAATAACTATACTTATCCAGCGTACACTTACCGAAACAGTTGACATGGGCCTTCTCGTTTAATGGGCACACGACCCCATCGGGGTAGGTACTGTCATGATCCCTGTTTTTACCAATAACATAACAAATGCTTTGGGAAGTTTTGTTACTTTTGAGGCAAAACCTGTTTCTCTGTACTTCAAGCCCTTAAGTTCTACTTTGTCCATTAAGCCACATGGAAACCATCTTTCCTCTCTTCCTGACAGTGGATAATGGGAATAGTGGCTGCCCCTTCTTGAGCACTTACTAGCTACTAGGCACTGCTCTGAGCACTTCCCCTGTATCGCCTCATCTCTTTAGCTCCCCAGTCGCTGCCCTGTTTCTCCCAGACCCTTCACCTTCTCAGTCCCTTCTTCTTGGCCCACTTGGGTCCGTCAGAACTGACCTGAACAGCCCAGGACTGGTAGAAAAGTGCAGTCTGCACATGGAGCTTCAATCAGGAGCCCCTTTGGCGGCAGCAGCCTCACTGGAAGCTCACGGCTAATTCATTAACCAGAACCCTCGTGTCTTTTCCACAAACTACTGCCAAGGCATATTCCCCTGGCTGCCCTCGTGCATTTTAGTCTTTGAACCCAAACCCCCACCTTTCTGTTAGATTGCACTGGTTTGACCCAGCTGTTTATCCTGTCAGCTTTATCCTTTTCAGCTGTTGGGGTTGGGGATGGGGAATGGTGCAGAGAAGTAGCCCAGGGCAGTGGGCGGCATCCGGGTCCCCTGTGGGAGGTGCTGCTCACACGGTGCAGTGCCAGCTGCAGAGGACACGCTCCTTCTCTCCTACAGGCAGTCCTGGGTGCCAATGATCCCGAGAGGAATTTCCTAACCACCGCCATCCGCCCTCATGGCATTTTCGGCCCAAGGGACCCCCAGTTGGTCCCCATCCTCATCGAAGCAGCCCGGAAAGGCAAGATGAAGTTTGTGATTGGGTAGGTCGGTTGCTCTTCTCCATGCCTCCCTGACCTCGCTGCAACAAGTATCAGTTACGTTCAGAGAGCGCTTTGTCAGCTCTTTCCTTATGTGGCCTTCTCTACTGTCCTCTATATTCCACAAACTGGGGCACTTAAAACAACAGAGATTTATTCTCTCCCAGTGCTGGAGGCCGGAAGTCCGAGATCAAGGTGTGGGCAGGATTGGATTTTTCTGGAGACTCTGAGGGAGAAGCTGTCCCAGGCCTCTCTCCCAGCTTCTGGTGCTGCCGGCAGTCCTTGGTGTTCCTTGGCTTATAGACACATCACTCCATCTCTGCCTCCATCTTCACGTGGCCTTCTCCTCCCGGTGTGTCTGTGTCCAAATTTCCCTCTTCTTATAAGGACACCAGCCATTGGATTTAGGGCCCACTCTACTCCAATATAACCTCATCTTAACTTGATTACATCTGTAAAGATCCTATTTCCAAATAAGGTCACATTCGCAGGTTACAGGGGGACATGAATTTTGGGAGGACCCTATTCAACTCAGTACACCCTCTCAGGTAGGCTGGTAAAATATTTGTGTCCCTGTTGGGAAATTGAGGAATCAGGCTCAGAGAGGAAAGAGTGGCCCAGGTCAAGGGCCAAGCCCCTGACTCTCCTTGCATCTAGAAAGGCAGGTGGAGGCCTGCCTTTCCTCCTCCTGGAGGAAAGTGCAGATGGAGGGGCCGCTGCAGGTGGTAACAGAGTGTGGCCGTCTCCCCAGTACACCTTCTCTTCCTTCCTTCCCTTTTCTCCCTCTCTTTCCCCCGCTTATCCCTGTGCCTTGCCACCTGGCCTCCCTGCCTCTCGCTCGGCCTCCCTGCTGCCCTGCCCTATTGCTCTGAGGGATTAGCAAGAGATGATAGAAAAATGTAAGGCCAGAGCAAGGTGTGAGCCCAGAGTATCCTGGAAGGAGTTGAAGAGCTGCTACTCAGATTAGAGCCCAGAGCAGACAGCACCAATGTTGGCCATGCTGGGATAGGACAGGCAGAGCACCAGGCTTTCAGATTCATTGATTGGCCTCTGTCCTACTGCCCGAGGGCCCCAGGACCCCTGGCCCCCTGCACATCTTTAACTGTCGCAGATGTCCAGGTATTCCAGGGGCTGGCGTTGCCAAGGCAAGTAGCAGCCATTCTGTAGGAAGCGGTCTCTCAAATGCTGAGACTCGGGAGCAGCCCTGGTTCCACGTGCGGGGGTTCCACTGGGCGTGCAGCTGAGTGCTCCCAGCATAGTGGAACCATGCCCTGTATGCCCACAGAAACGGGAAGAACTTGGTGGACTTCACCTTCGTGGAGAACGTGGTCCATGGACACATCTTGGCTGCAGAGCAACTCTCCCAAGACACGGCCTTGGGTGGGAAGGTAAGGCGCCTGCCTCCCTGGTGCACCAGTGGCTGGCTTGCCACATCCTGCCCCTGCACGTTTGCCCATCTTTGTATTTCTTCTCCCTGTGATTGGATTGGCTGGCAAATTGCCTTCACAATCCTGCGTCCTGGTGGACCTGCTTTAGAATCCCGATGGGCCGAGGTTGAGCCCCTCTCGTAGGGAGGGTGGTGTCATCGCAGTGCCACCATCGCTCGGGGCATCCAAACTCTGGAGCCAGTGGGCTGGGATTGAACAGAGATTCAGGACTCGGTTCTCCGTGGCACATGACCTGGCTGCCCACCATGGACGAGGCTACTCCCCGCAAGGTCCCATGTATGTTGGGCGGGGTGCTTGCTACTCACCCGTTCTCCCAGTCATTCCAGAAGTCTCCATTTTTCCCCCATTGCCTACCCATGCTCACACCTCTCACTCCTCCGGAGGGGTAGATGTGTCAATCTCCTGGTGTTTGGCGCCCAGTGGGCAGGGGGGCATGTGGGAGAGGTCAGCTCTTAACACAGAGATGGGAGAGCACCCTCGGGCCCCCTCGCCCTTTCCTTCTGCTCCTAGGGCCCCCATCTTCCTTGTTTCTCACTCCTACCTTTGGGATCCCCCCATTTGGGCCTCATTTTTTTCTCCTGGACCTCTGCCGTTTTCCTTCTCATGCAACCCTTAGGGTGGTGGGGGGAGGGTGGGTATTTCACAGCACATTTGAGAAGTATAATATGACCTGTTCATTGCATCTGAAGATAAGAAAATGAGTTTTACCATGATTAACACAATTATTAAATTAAATTAACAAACATGCCTTCCCAAGTACAGTCTAAGCTTCACTTAAAATCCTGGCCCATAGATAAAACTTTCCTTGCCTTCCCTCTCTATACCTTAAAGCTGCCCATAGCGGCACATCAAAAAGGTGGCTCTTCCATCAGCTGACATTGATGGATTTGAGGACCACCTGAAATGCTGCGATCTGCCTAGGCTTAATATCCACCTCATTTTTGAGCTTCCCTGCACAGGAGCTGAGATGGGCAGGCAGGGAGTGGCCGCTGGTGTCCCAAAATATTGGTCCTGGGCTGAGCCCACAGCTTGTGGCTAAGCTCTGAGTTCCAAGCATGGCCTGCTCACCCCTCCAGCTGGGAGATAGTTTCTAACTTCTTGTTCTCTCTCCAGGCATTTCACATCACCAATGATGAACCCATCCCTTTCTGGACGTTCCTGTCCCGCATCCTGACAGGCCTCAATTACGAGGCCCCCAAGTACCACATCCCCTACTGGCTGGCCTACTGGCTGGCCCTCCTGCTGTCCCTCCTGGTGACAGTAATCAGTCCTCTCATCCAGCTCCAGCCCACTTTCACACCAATGCGGGTCGCACTGGCCGGCACATTCCACTACTACAGCTGTGAGAGAGCCAAAAAGGTCATGGGCTACCAGCCCCTGGTCACCATGGATGACGCCGTGGAAAGGACTCTGCAGAGCTTTCGCCACCTGCAGAAGGTCAAGTGAGGCACCTGGAGACTGGGCCCTCTCAATGCATTCCCCAGGTGGTAACTCTCCCCTGTGGACCAATAAACTAACCTCCTTCAAACAAGTTTTTTCTGAGCTTAGGTCTCCTCCTGCCAGTTAGATGAGAGCACACCCAGCCCTTCCGTGACCACAAGGGTGGTGAAAACAGCAGACATTTCTTCCTTGAGAGGATTGGATTTGGATTTCTTAGGCAGCTTCACAGTCTACTGTTTCGTATTCTCTCTCTCTCTCCCCCACACACCCCTCTCTCCTGGGTTCTGTAACATTCCAGTGTCCTTGTACATAATCAAGGAAGCTATAGGGAAGATGCAACCCATTTGCTAATTGAGGATGGGGAACACAAATATCCTAGAAGAAAAGCAGAAGTTATAAACACATGGTGAGACTTCAAATGTACATGTCAAATAGACACAGAGTTTAGAGCAAAAACTTTTTAAAAGCTTAAAGAACTGTAGCCCTCCCCCCTCTCCTGCCCTGAATCCCAAGGGGAAAAGGACTACTGGTCATTCACCTCCTTACATCCTTCCAAGTTCTCTCTCAGGTGCAGCTGGCGTACCTGCCTGCATTGTTTTTTCGTAAAACATTCTTTCATGGACACGTTTCTCTTTATTAACAGAGTCCCGTTGTCCTTTTTAGTGGCAAGGTGCTGGTCTGCCCAGTGGCATGCTATTTCAGCTCTTTAGTCCCTCGTAACATGGGACATCGGGCTGGTTCACAGTAAGCCATCGGAGAGGTCAGAGAGAAGAGAGCCTCCTTTATCTGCTTGAAGTTCGGGCAGAAACTCCACAAGATGATGCAGAAAGGGCTACTTCCCTGTAGCTCATGCTCATAGACCCTTCAGGCCAATTTCCAAAACGCATAGCACATATAATGATTCAGCGATCTGTATCTTCTGGTGATGTTCTACCACAGAACCTGGTTTCTTCGCAGACTAATTGAAATGTAATTGTACAGACGTCTGTTTTCTCCTCTGCCTTTGTCCAAGGGTGGCAAGGCTCCTGGGGAGACTGGAATAAAGTGCAGGTATTGTGCATGCAGCATCACCCCCACCAGAGAAGACTGCACTGAGCTGATGGGGCAGAGGGCTCAAACAGAAATAAGACACAGTCTTTGCCCATAAGACACTTAGAATAGGGGAGTTAAGATATGTTCACAAGCTCTTGTAATACCAGGCAGGAAATGATACACCATTTGAGATGAGGTGGTGTAAGTTCAGAGGAATGAGACATGGCCTCCAGCCAAGACCATCAGAAAGGCTTTCCTGGAGGCGGTGACAGCAGTGAGTTGGACCTCAAAGGATGGATAGTCAGTAGGTACAGACCCCTAGGTGGCATTTCAGGCTGAAAGGTCAGGTTCACAGTCAGTGGCTTGTCATCGTTTCACTAGCACTGTATTGTCTTTCCCAGATTCAGTGAAGGACAGAGGTGACCAGCCTGGCTTGGGGTGTGGGGCGTGCAGCAGTGGGAGGCGGGTTGGGCTGAAGAGGTAGGCAGGGCCCTGGATGCCAAGCCAGGGAGGCTTAACTTTATCCTGTAGGCATGGGAAACCAGTGACAGTTTAAGCAATGGAGGGCAAAGATCAAGAAACTCATTCTGGCCACCCTACTTAGAGCCTGGGAGAGCAGATAGGAAGTAACCAAAGTCCAAGCAATGATGCAGCCATGGCGATAGAAATGAAGTCTTGAGTGGAAGTGCCTGGACAGGAGTCAGAGCTCGCTGCCTGGTTTCCTATGGGGGTGAGAGGGACGGAGGAGGCCAGCACAAAAGGAAAAGACTCCGCTTTCAGAGCTGCTGGGAGGAGGGTCTTGGGCCTGGATGAGGGAGGCTGGCAGACCTCTCTGAGGAGTACCAAGGACCAAAGTGCCCTCAGCTTCAGCCTTCTAGCTTTCTTGGGAAAATGCTAGCAGCTGCCGCCACAAAATATGTCCCTCGTGGGACTCCAGACTATCCAATCCATTCCTGTCTTCTAAGAAGAGATTTCTCAGGGAATCTCTTCTCCATTCGCCCATTTTGTTCAGCCATTCATTCTACATAGGTTTGTTGGATGCTGCCCGGGTTTCAGTGGTGAATAAAACAGGCACGGCCTTGAGCTGACGTTCTAGTGGGACCGTGCAAATCAACAGCAATTGGAAACTGTTAAAAATTTCAAAAAGGAAACATGCGGGATGCTGTGGGAGGAAGAGCAGGCTGCGAGTGGACCTGGCCCGGGTGGAAATGGGGGCTTCCCAAGGAGGCAGTATCCGCTGAGATCAGAAAGGTGAGACGGAGTGAATTAGGTGGCTGGGAGAGCCCTCCAGACAGACCCTGAGCCTTTGGCTGCTGCTCCTTGCTCTGCCCTGCATTCCTGACCCAGACTTATGTCACCCCCTACCCTTTTGGAGAAAATCTGACCACTGGGAAACCACATGCTCCGCAGCCCCCTGGGAACTTGTTAGAAACTAGCCCCCCACCCCACCCCAGACCTACTGAAGTGAGCCTCTGGGGGTGGGCCCGGCACTCTGTTCACAAGCCCCACTGATGGTTCTGAACCACTGAAGTGGCCTTCCACCAGGTCACTGAGCCCAGCTGGAACCTCACCTTTGCCACTGCAAGACTGAACTTACCCTGCTCACACGCCCAAGTCCCCGGGCCGCCCCAAGTCGTTCCTCTCCTGCCAGCTGACAGCCTTACAGCACACCTCCTGAAAATGCCTCCCGGAGAACCACCCCAGGCCTGCACCTCTCCCCTGTGGCACATCCACCTGTAGAATCGGACCCAAGGGAAGGCAGTTCTCTCCCAGCTTGGGGACAGTTCTGCATGTTCACTGGGGAGAGCTCTCATTTCAGGCCCTCTTTCCTCCCCATCGGCGCTGACCTGGTTCAGCCTCTGGCCCCATCTGCACCTGGGTCAAGTGTCCTGGGACAGCCAAGCTGATCTGTTTGCCGCCTCTAATCCAGCCTCTAAACACATCCAGGGTGTCCTTCCTAAACAGACCTGGATCCTGCCTCTCTGCCGAAAACGCTTTGCTGAGTCCCGACTTTCTCCTGAACACTCTGCAGCCAATCCATCATGGCCCATGCCCAGCCCGCCTTTCTGGCTTCTTCCACTGGGCTTCACACCTGCTGTGCTCCAGCCAAACTGCTCATGCCCATTCATCCATCCTCTTGCTCAGGTTGTTCTGGCTGCCTGCAATATCCTCTTCCCTATATGTCCCCAGGTCCAGAATGGCCAGCTCCTTTTCCACCAAAAAGCCTACCCTGATCCACTTGGAAATCGTCTCTTTTCTCTGGGCTCCCAGCCTGTGGCTCTCCATCTTTGCCTCATTTAACATATTCCTTCTGTGTGCTTTCTCTCACCCCCACCAGGCCAGGGGCTCCTTGAGGGCAGAGCCAACCAGTGTCCCCACAGTACAGAATGGGCGCTCAGAAAAGTGGGGTAACCATCTGGCTGGCCTGGAATCCTAGAGTAACAGTGGCAACAAAAGGAAACAGCCCAATGAGTGGAGGACAAAGCTTCCAGGCCTGGCATTCGTGTGTGAATTTGGGAGGTCTGTGAACTCATAAACTAGACACAGCCTTTGGGTCATCTGTGAGTGTGTGTCTTTTGGCAGGAGAGGGCACATAGCGGTAATCAACTCTTCAAAGATGGCTGTGGTCCAAAATTTGAGCCAGTGAGGTGGGGGCCAGCAACTGTGGGTAAGTTGGCTTTGCAGGGCGAGGGCAGGAGAGACAAGCTGAGGGAGCAGAGGCCAGAGTGGAGCTCCTAGGCTTCATCGGCATCCCCATCTGTGTGTGTTCCTGGACCAGGGGGTACCTGTGGCCAGCTGTTCCATCTGTGGGGTTCGTGACTCCAAAACAGGGAAGGACTGGAACCCATGCAGAGGCTGGCTCGGCAGACAGGACGGGAATGGTTGAGGCCTTTGTCCATAGCCCTCCAAGCTCTGGTGTGCATTTCTATCCACTGACGAGGAGGTCTAGGCTTCCTCTCTCCTTGCTATGTGAGACAGCCCTTGCTGGTAGTTCTCTTCGGCTGAACTGAAATACCTCTTGCTGCGACTTCCCTTGCCTTCCCTCCCTCTACCCAACCCCAGTAAGCTAGCTTATAAGCTCCTCGTGGCTCCTCAGCTGCATTCTCCTCTGCACGGCATACCTCAGGGTATCTGGTTCTGCTGGGCCCACAGTCTCCTCTTCTTTCAAATCTCATCTCCGACATCATTTCCTCCTTGCAGCTTTCCCCCACAAAATTCTCTCTCTTCTGGCTTCCTACAAAGCCTGGCCCACATCACCATCAAAGCACTTCCTCAACCATATGGTAATCATTGGCTTAGCTGCCCAGCTCTGTTGTGAGCTACTACACTTGTCAAGGACTAGGGGCTTTTGATTCATTTCTCTATCCCTGAAGTCCTGTGCGATGCCTGCTCCTGAGAAGGTGCCCAGTAAGTGTAACCACACTGGAAGGGCATTTAGAGGAGAAAGCCACCAGCACCTACATTGACCAGCTGGGGGAGCCCCAGAGAGAAGAAGCCACGGTCAAAGGCATTCCTGCAATTAGCAGAGCCAGGGCTAGACCACGAGCTCCCGATCCCCCAGGCCAGTGCGCCCCGCGTTCCCCATCTAGATCAGACAGCCTAACACAGCAAAGGTGCCCAGGTGGGGAGGAAGGGACTCAAGCTCTGATCCGAGGCTCACCAACGTGAAGGGCTCAAAGAGCACAAATAGATAGTTAAGAATGGAGAAAAAGAAAAAAGGCATGTTGGGAGACACTAGAACCTTCCAACACCAGCATGCCTAGTAACTGATCATAGAAGACTCCAAATGATGGAAGACCCAAATTAGAGCCTTCCCTTTGTCTTACTGAGCACCTACCGTGTAACTGGCCTTGTGCTAGGGGCAGGGGCACCATCTAGACAAGAGCCCTCGTGGAGCTCATGGTCCAGCAAGGGACGGGGAGGTACTCATTAATGAAAGAATCACAATTTATTACAATTGGGCTAGGCAGTCACAGGGAGGCTGCAGCATGAGGCAGAGAGTGCCATCCCAGTTGGTGGTACACTTGTGCCCAAAGCAGATTTCACATCCTGTTCATGAAACTCGCATCCTTCCTTCGTCTTCCCCTCCTTTGATTGTGACCTTCTCAAGGGCAGATTTTCTTAGACTTTGG